ATAAGTCAAAGAAATTTATAATTTTTATAAAATATAATAATATATTAATAATATATTACATATATAATATAATTAAATAATAATAAAATATATATTAATAATATATTAATATATATTATAATAATATATAATATATTAATATATTATATATATAATATAATTAAATAATAATAATTAATAATATTAATATTATAATAATATATATATAATAATATAATATATATATATATATATATATATATATAATATAATATAATATTATAATATAATATAAATATAATATATAATTTTTATAAAATAGAGATACTTGTTTTTCTCAAGTAAGCTTTTTTATTATACACACTTGCAGGTTTACTGATTTTAATTTACTTATAATGAACGGACAATGCGCAAAACTAAGTTTACCTTTTGCAAGATTTACTTAAAAAAACAAGTTGCATAATTCAGCTCAAAGGTTATTTCCTCTTGTGAGGAATTTTTTATTTTTTGCTTTGCGTGGGATATTTTTATTAGATACATTTTTAACAATAGATAAATGAATAATTATGAACAGAGAGGTAGCCATAAAGTAAATTACACAAACATGAATAAACTGAGACTGCTATATATATAATAATAATAATAATAATAATAATAAAGCAATAAAATTAAATAAATACCTTTGTGAAAGGAATTTTGCATAGGGTCTCTCTGTACTGTTATGTTTTATCTTTTCTGATTCCAAAATTTACAATAAAATTCACTCAATAAAAATATATGTAAAACAAAACATAGAAGAATTGGTCACAATTGATAACGCAATAAGAAATCTCAGAAGATTTCAATAAATAATAACAATATCACAAATTTATAAAGGATGGCAGATTTTCTTTATAAAAAAAATAAAGAAAACTTAGGATTCTCCAAATGTTTTTTTTTAATTCAAGATAGTCAAAAAACATATGAAAAAGTATTAATATTTTCAGATGCTTACAGTATGGACATCATCTCATTTGTGGATAAGTCAACAATTAAATATTTTTCTGAAATTTTTAATTATTTTTTAATTAATGCTCTAATCTGCATAATGAAAAAAATCAACCAATTTTTAAATTTTCAACTTCAAGCAATGAAAAACTTCATAAACTATACAAAACAATTAGAATATATAATACTTGGTAGATATGTTTAGTCAACATATCATTTATTTTTGTAATCAATTATATTTTTATATACTTAAGGAACAAATAGGAAATGTTTATGTGTCACTTTCATTTAAGCTTCATCAGAGAATGAAGTATAGAGGAGAAAAAAAAATTCTGGTATTTTTCATTCATTTTTTTATATTTTATCGCTGGTTAAATAGACCTCATGTGTATTTGTCTTGTCAGGTAGAGTATGTGATTTAAATTTGTTTATACTTTTTCATGAAAATAAACTTAAACACAAACAATAACTTAGTTACCTCCCTTGACATTACTGTATGAATATTCATGCAGTAATGTCAAGGGAGGTAACTAAGTTATTGTTTATGTTTATTTACAATACATCATAAAATTTAAAAATCGGACAGGATATAAGTTTAGCTTTTTTCACTTCACAAATAAATAAATTTAATTTTCAGATAAACACAACAAATAGGCCTTAGCTAAAATAAGACCCTGAAGATGACATTTTGCTAATGTTGAAAGTACTTAGAATAAATGAATATGTATCAATATAGTAACTTTCTTTCTTCCTTTTAATAAAGATAATAAGCTTGTCTGTGAATATGAGATGATCATATTAAAATAAGTAGACAAAAGATATCTAAATTATTTAATGACACACATCTTAAAAAACTTAAAACATGCTACCAAAATATACGTAATTACGTAATATATATTTTAAGACATTTTTATGTTTAACATTCTTTTTATAGATAAAAATATTTAAGTAAATGCTCTGTTTAATAACCAGTATTAAACAACATTTACCGGTCTGAATGTCCAAGAAATTTTCACAGAAAATATTCGTCCTCCAACAGGATTCAAACCTGTATCCTATACAGAACCATCATTTGGCTTGACCTGCCTTTACCGATTTGGCCACAAAGGAGTGTTCGGTTAGCAAGGTCGAATTTACTGTATTTAAACTTCAATCTTCCATGAATCTCTCACGTACATTCATGTAAACAATGACGTCACACATATGGTATATATATATATATATATATATATATATATATATATATATATATATATATATATATATATATATACAAACATAAATTTATCCTATACCTATAGTATAAGACAATCTGTTTATTGATTATATAAAGATGATGTTATTGAAAATGTTGCTACTTACTGTATCCTTAGAAATTCCAAATAAACAAAATAACAAAACCAATTCTATATAATGTTTTTCCTACACATGTCCCCTAAAAGGGAAACCATTGTCTTGTTTAGGTTTCTTCACGTGATCTCTTTCAAATAATGATTCTTCTTCTTTCTCTATTTTTCCTATATCTAAACAATTACAGACACCCTGGTGTACTAATAGACATTTATTTATACTTCTTCAACAATCACAAAATGCCGCTAATAACAGTACAATAATAGTACATTCCATTGCTGTGAATGCAATCATAACTCGATGTTTACATTTTCTTAGCTAAGCTTGCATGGATACAAGTTCATTTCATTGACATGGAATTATTCTTTGAATAGGCAATTTATTGTGAAGTTATGCCAGCAATATAAGAAAAAAATGGTTTTGGTACCTTTATTATCAGTTTATTTGATAATGTAAACCTTTTCATGTACATTATTGGCTATTTTACGAAGGCTGAGTTTAGCCTACTGACAAACATCACTCAAATTTTCAGTTTTCTTTTTTAGAATTGTAGTATAAGGTGACCCCCAATTTTTAAGGTTCATTTTTGGGGTTTAAAAGTTGTCTTATACACAAAATATACAGTATGTTTGTGTGTGTGCATGTACATATATATATTTTTTGTAAATATATATTTATAATTTTTATAACTGGGTCTATATAATTATATATTTGGTGTAAAATGAAGTGTCAGTTTCTTTCTTACAAAACCTTACAACTCAGTACATGAAAAATCAATGACTTATCCACAAAAAATGATCTGAATGCAACCAGTAAATATTATCGCCTAATCTCTGAACAGCAAAAGAAAATTTAATTTTCAGTTATTGTTATGTTAAATATTAGAGAAATATAGATTAAAAATGTATTAGTTAAAACACTAAAAGAAAAAAGTTACCAAAAGGAAGCTTTTCAAAAGCTTACAAATTTTAAACAGAAGAATAAATGTATTATTATTTCATAAAAAAAATCATATTATATGCAATATTATTGCAAAATAGCATAAAGAAAATGTCTTGTTTTTGTCAAAGGCACATATTTTCTTGATCACAAATCTTATCAACTTTTTCAACTCTTCTCGTGACTTTCAAAAGCCATACTGACAATGATAAAAATCTTTAACAAATTCTGGAGTTATTACAACTCTTAATTCTAACAAGTGAAAAATTATAACAATAATTATTATTAATGTTTCTAACAAATCATGAAAGAAATTATAACCTGAAAACTCATCATCTTTAAAGAAAATAAACGATGATAAGTAAATATTAGAATCCATAAACCCAGACTTTAAATTGTCTTCAGTTTATTTTCCTCTAACACAAGAACCGGAATATTGTATTGCAAGTGACACAGACAATAATCAGAATATGGGGTGAAATAGTAAAACAGACTACAACAAACTGGAAGTTGGTTGTATCTCATTCTGAGAACCTAACAGAAAACAAATGGTGACCAATGTAATGGTCAGACCTTACCGGAAAAAATAATGGCCAATTAGTTAAAACTAACAGGAAAGTGGTAGCAAATACACCGGTAAGACATAACACAAAAGAAATGATAGTAAATGTATTGGTCAGACCTAACACAAAAAATAATGCTAAATGTACTGGTCAGAAGTAACAGAAAAAAATGTTAGCCAGTGTACTCATCAAAACTAACAGAAAAAATGATGGTCAATGTATTGGTCAGACCTAACACAAACAATAGTGCTAAATATACTGGTCAGAGGTAACAGAAAAACATAGTAGCCAATGTACTCATCAAAACTAACAGAAAAAAAATGATGGCCAACGTACTGGTCAGATCAAACAGAAAAAAATGGTGGCCAACTTAACACAAAAGAAATGGTAGTAAATGTATTGGTCAGGCTCATTAAAAAAGTAATATTGATCAATGTACTGGTCAGACTCATTAAAAAAATAATGTTGACCAATGTACTTGTCAGACTGAACAGAAAAAAAACATGGTGGTCAATATACTGGTTAGACATAACAAAAAAACTGATGGCCAATGTACTGGTATAATGAAACCCACTCACAACAATGTGTGTAATACAGGTGCTTCCCTACTTCGGTTTAGTCTTTGTTCTTCCATTTACAGTAACATGTTCCTTTTTAATCACAGTAAAATCTTGAATTCACCTGAAGTCATTTTTGTCTTCTTCATATTCTTTTTTATCAATACGATAATATTTCTTACATAGAGTGGGAATTTCAAATATATAAAAAAAACTTTAACATTCAAAAAGAAAAACAGGAAATAAAACAATAAATCAAGTAAATTAACCATGAATAATGCACACACACACACACACACACATACATATATATATTTACATATATGAAACAAACCAAAATATTGGTAAATATGCCAAGAACAATCTTACCAACACAAAGCCTACTAAATGTGAAAACAAAAACAAAACCAAAGAGAATGAAAAAGAAATCAAGAGTAAAAAAAAACAATCAGCAAAACCACAGCAGAAAAACAACATATACCAACATATGTAGAACCTAAAGTGCTCAATGCCTCTAAAAAGCAGACTAAGACAGAGTAGTAACACTAACAAACTAAACAGCACTCATGGACTCAAATCCAAATTATTACTCTTAGTTTCACACTAAGCAATCATCAGTTTCATGTTAAGCAATATGCATACACATATAGATAGATAGATAGATAGATAGATAGATAGATAGATAGATAGATAGATAGATAGATGTGCATTTAACTTGATTATGTACACAACAAATTCAAGTTAAAAATCAAGCAGAAAAAACTGGTTGAAATATTGTTTTACATTAAGTAAATTCCACAATCTTATGGCTAAATTGATTTCCTGTGTTTTTATCAGGATGTTGGTTGTAAAAACAGCGACTGTCACCAACATCATATGTTTGAGAATGTAAACAATAACATCAGCTGTAACAAGAAAGATAGGAATATAATGAATACCTGTGACAGGTGACATGCTTTTTCACAACTTCAATGCAGCAAGATTCTTTGAAAGGTGATAATTTAAAAATAGGAGTGGCATATCAAGCTGCATCCTTCAGCAACAATGTCAAGTATAGAATATATATATATATATATATATATATATATGAAAAGTGAATATAAATATAAATAAATATATATATATGTATAATTATTTATATATTATATCTGTAATCTACTTAGAAAGCGCTCAATATCAGAGATAGAGCTAACATATTTGGTTGGATAGATGTGAGTTTGTGACCCTGGGTTTCACGCTTTAGCGATCGTCAGACAAACTGATTACTGTTTTAAAAATTTGGGTTTTATGTAGATTGCGTGTATTGGTGTTATTGTGGAAGTGGTGGGGAGATTTCGTCGTTTTGTCATTCAGTACTAACGCAAACATCGATGTATGCAGACACATATACATATACATACTTGGTCGTCCGTCGGGACTCATACATATATATAAACATATGTAGACAGTTTCGGCTATGACACATGTATGTATGGGTGGTGTTATGTCTATACATACGCATTTGTATGTTGAAATGTTGAAATTTAAACATTGGAAGTGTGGCGGAAATGTCTCGTTATTGTCTCGTGAATGTATCCATGTCATATTATGAAATTTTTTTTTTTTTTTTTTTTTCCTTCTGTTGAAAAAATATTTGAAAAATATTTTTTTCGCATGTATGTATATGTGTGGTGGGGTTTGTGTAAAATTATGATAGGTAAAAATTATTATTAAATTATTTATATTTATTTTTAAATTTTTGAAAAAAAATGGGGGTTTATTTGTTATATTTAAAGCTGGTTATTTGTTTGTTTTTGGTGACTGTGTATATGTAACAGGTAAAAAATTGTAATCCTTATTGTTTTAATTTATATGGTGATGTTTAATTTAATACTTGGGTTTATATGATATGATGTGATAGTAATGTTTCAAAGGATTGGAGACAATGCTATTTAGGTTTTTAGCTAATAGTTATTGTAAACTGGAAGAAATTGCAGATTGGTAGAAATGATTAGTAACGGTGGTGGGAGAATGATAAAACCATGAATGTAGTTATAGTGGTGGTAGCTTGAACTAAAAAGTGGTTGTTGGTGTTTTATTTTTGTTTTATTTTGTTATATGTATTAATTTATTTTGGTATAAATCCTGATAATAGGTATTCTATGTAAAATTATATATATATATATATATTTATATATATATATTAAGTATATATTTTGCACTGAAGATATGAAAATGTTAAAGTCTAGAAAATAAATCCTATCAATTTGTGAAATATCAAGAAAAAAAAATGATTCAATCTTATTGACAATTTTTATCATTTCACACCAAGCAATGCAATAAAGCTAATAGCATACAAGGGTTTACTGGGAGTGGAAGAGAATGAGAAGATTTTAGTGAGGAGAAAGGACAAGAAAAGAACAGGGTTCAGGAACACAGAAGACAAAAACTGATGTTGCATTTAAATTTTTAAAGAGTGTGGCAGATAAGCAAGAAAGCAGAAGGAAGTTTCACAGGCGAGAAGTACCAGAAAAGAAACTATCAGGATAGAACATATGGTTGCATCTAACTAGTTTGACGGTAAAATAGTGAGACCTAATTGTCAATCTAGTAGCACACTTAAATCCAAGCCGTCTAGACATTAAGGAGGAAAACTCATCAAAACAATTACCATGAAAATATTTGTAGAAAAGACAGAGAGAAGCCATGTCACATAGATGAGAAAGTGACTGAAAGCAAGATGCCATGTCAAAATCAATTACTTTAGATGCTTCTTTAAATTTTGTCAAGAATTTTGAGATATATACTAGGAGCGCCAGAGCAGTTTTTTTTATTCTTCTTTTTACTTAGTGATATAATGGAATATGCATACACCTGAGTTCCCCCTCACTGGAATATGATTGGCTGGTATCTGTCATAAATACAGACAGATGTGCAGGTATGACAGAGTTTAAGTTTATGACAACACTCATTGGACTACGCCATTGGCTATTCTATTGGTCTACACTTATTACCTGTGACTACGACGAGTACCAGTCGATTACTGCTACTGTGTACTACTAGGTTACAGTAGCCAAACCCATTTAGCTACTTCAATTAAATATATCCCTTTCCAGGACATATCACTTAGCTATAGAGTATAGAGTTTTAAAGCAAAGGTAATATAAAAATTTGAAAGCTGATAAAAAATGTATTCAGACTATAGACCCTCAAAATAATTGTCCAACCTTTCCAACCATCAGCTGATGTGATATAGAATCTGCCTGATGTTTTCAAATATAAATGAAAATACGTCTTAAAGCTCAGATATTCTCAGACTAATCTCACCCCCGACTTAGAGAAAGCAGAAACATGCTTCATAATATACATCCTCCACCTAGCAGATCTACATTTTCCATCCAGAAGATTTACATCCTCCATCCAGCAGATCTATATCCTCCATCCAGCAGATCTATATCCTCCATCCAGCAGATCTAAATCTTCCATCCAGAAGATTTACATCCTTCACCCAGCAGATTTACATCTTCCATCCAGAATATTCACATCCTCCACCCAGCAGATTTACATCTTCCATCCAGTAGATTTATATCCTCCACCCAGCAGATCTATATCCTCCACCCAGCAGATCTACATCTTTCATCCAACACATCTAGATCCTCCATCCAGCAGACCTTGATCTTCCATCCAGGAGGTCTACAACCTCTATCCAGCAAATCTAGATCCTCTATCCAGGAGATCTACCCTCTCCATTCAACAGATCTATATCTTCCATCCAGATCTAGATCCTCCATTCAACAGATGTACATCTCCCCATCCAGCAGACCTACATCTTCCATCTAGCAGCTTTACAATGAAATTCATCAGAAATTCAAATCTGAAGAAACAAAATAGCTACAGACTAAATCATTCAACTGATGATGACCAGAGTACAGTTGACCAAAAAGTTATAAAATAAATGAGGGTTGTCTAAAAACATTCATATATTAATATTTTTCCATTTAGTTTATAGATGGACTACGCTTTCACTGCAGCACTTTTATACCATTGTTGTCTGGCTGTTCTGGCCCATTTTAGGAAAAATAAGGAACTGCTATTAACTGGTAATAAAAAAAAACTATAAAGACACTGACAGTGGCTTCAATCAGATACGCTGCAGCTAAATGACATCCCCAACACATCTTGGCACTGAAAGGTCAAATTTTAGAAGGGAATTTGTCAACTCACATGAACACCAGTCACAAGATACAAGCAATCACAAACCCCAGACATATAAGCCTACAATTATCATTCATATGTAATAAATACTGTATATTCCATTAGTTTCATACTATATATATTGTTGTTTTTTCTAGTATTGATGGTAACCAGTAGGCAGGTTCCTACCAGTACACTAAAACTTCCATTCATTTCGGCATACCATATATCTTTACAAACCCCAATACCAGCCACATAATACAGGCTGTTATGTTTCATATGTACACCAAGAATACTAACCTTATTATTGTGATAATTTGTGACAGAAACAAAAATGACAGTGTAGAGACGGCAACTTAGACTTGCTGGTATGGTAAACTAGTAAATCCTTAATTTTTTTTTACCAAAAATATGTAGGTAATTATAAAGTGCATCTTGCCACACAAACGTCCTTGTAATATGGTACATCACAAAAAAAGTAGTATTTTATGCTACTATATATCTACAAAGTGTTGTAAACTTTATATATATATATAAGTTTTATTAAAGACAACTGTTGCAGCATACCTATGGACGATAATGGGTATGTCCCCATTCACATAAATGCAGTAGTAAATACTGTATGTTGGTCTACAGTTGGAGATTCATTGTGGAATTCACTTGACTCACTTCTAGCAGTTGACTACTTCTATGCACCACTGGCAAATCTTATATGCATTGTTCTTGACCTAAGTATTATCATTCATTACCAACCTTCATGTGATTATTCTATTCAGTAACTTTCCCTAGGTTACAACAACAACTGACAAGGTACTGCAATTAAGCTTTTCCTTCAATTTTTCTTGCATTCATACAAGTATTTTCTTTTCTGGACATAGTGTGTAAAAAACTGTCTAATTGTTCAATATATCCAAGCCCTTCCAGCTATTCTATTAGCCATTATCAAAGATTTAGGGATGGGATTCTTTTTTTTTTTAATTTCCAAACTCAATCAGCATGCTGTGACAGCCACAATGTAATGACCATATTTGGGAAATAAAAAAAACAGAAAAAACATTCCCATCACTACAGATACATACATATATATATAAAACATACATATTCAGTTAAAAAAAACATCCTGGGTAACAGAATAGCTTAAAGTGCTTGGATATATGGAACATTTGGACAATTTTACACACTTTATATCCAGAAAAGAAAACATCAGTATAAATGCAATAAAAATTGAATAAAAAGCTTAATCACAGTACCTTGTCAATCGACTTTAATAAAACTTGTATAAAAGAAGGATTGATGTCCATCAAATACACAATTATGTGTGTGTTTGTGTGTGTGTGTGTGTGTCTGTTGACTGCAAGCAATGTAAGTGGAGTGTGTAACTCAACTAAGAACATGTAAAATAGACTTTACACTCAAAGAGAAGCCATATGTAGTGATGACCCAGGAGATCTACAATTCATCTTACATCATTAGCAATCTTGACAGGAGAACAAATGTTGGCTCAGCTATGTCTGGGGTGTACACATGAAAAAGAGCTACAGGATAGAGAAAGATATATAAATATCCACCCCTGCAATAAGAGAGCAGTCTCTTTCAAGCATTGCAGGCATGAGGGTAAGGTCTATGTTTCTCAGACGAGGGGCCTGGTGCTGCTCTCACTCCCTGGCCAAACCTAATTGATGAAGTACAGAGTTGAATAAAATGTAATATTACATAAGATTTATTACATGCTCTCATTAACTAGTGCAACGACTTCATTATATGTTTCTTAAAGTAAGCGTGTCCATTGAAATGGAAGAGTTAAGAGCATAACATAGAAAATGCTGACATTTTTTTTCTAAATAAATATAATCATTTTAACATATTGACAGCTAACCACCAGTTAACTCATGTTTGGCAGTTTTTATATGAGGTGCCGACTACAAGTTATCTTCTGCTTGGTACATTTTCATCTGCGACCTCCAACAAGCTTATTTGTTGTGATACTTTTAGTGAGAAAACAATGTTTAGACTTCAGCTGAAGCTATAAATCAACTTGCAAAAATTTTTTATTGCCTAACTTGGATATTATAAAGTTGGCATTTGAAGTCAGATTTTGTAATTAACCATTGACAGTCAACATATTAAATAATCATCTTGATAACTATGACATAATATTTCTTCTTAGATAAACCGTTTGATTGGACCATAAAAGATTTGGGCTTTAACATATGTTTTTGATTAAAGCATTTGATTATGTGTGCATGCAACTGCATCAGTAAAAAGGAGCAAAAATACAGATTTTACTAAAAGTTTCCTTTTTTTCTTTTCTTTTTTTTCCCAATATTTACTGCTAATAATAAAATGCTTAATTTAATTAATTTTATCTCAGTCCTTTCCAGTTGCTTCTTTGTCATACACAGGTTTCTGGAGCAAAAGCCACTCGAACGTTCCTCATTCTACGCATGAGACTCCCAATATCTGCCATGCATGTCATACGTTTTGGTGAATGCATCACAAACTCATCGTCATCAATCTCCCTCTGGCGCTTTGGAGACTGTGGCGGCGATTCTGCAGTGTTCAAATACTTTGATGACGGCACAAACACAACTTTCACTTCTTCAGTGTTCTTAGAAACATCACTGCTAAAAGATGCTGATGACTGAGTGATGTACTGGCTGCAACATAAAAAAAAATCACTTTAAATCATAAATAATTTTCGTTTTTGGAAACCAGTTGTAATAATGAATATATAATTTTAACTATTAATCATAGATGGCAATTATGAATAAATATAAAGCACACTAACACAGATTTTGAAGGGCAGGAGCAGCGTACACAGTGGATTAAAGAATAAATTTCTTAAACCTGCTAATAGAGGGATTGAAAATAAATTTACATTAATGTTATGGGAGTTTGAGTAAGGAAATAAAGCTATGGAGACATATGTAGTGTTCATGGATAAGAAGTCAGAAGTGACAGGCAAGTACAAAATTGGTTTACAATGTTTCATTCTGGAGAAACATCGTTGGAAGAAGAAGCCTTGGATTTTGATGATGAAGCTCTAAAGTCATTTTGTGGAAAGCAATCTACACACTAAGTAGTGAAACGTATTTCATGCATGAATGCAACTGTTCAAGCATGTAATCATTTAAACGTTAAACAGACTATCGCCACTCCAAGACCTCATCATTGCTCACATGCTTGATCCATGATATCCTTAACATCCTTCTGCAGAACCACATCTCTGCCACCTCAAGTCTCTTCTTCATCTTTGAGGAGACCATCCAACATTCGCTGCCATGTTGGAGGACAGGTGTCACGTATCAGCTCAGTACTCTTTTCTTTGTCATGAAAGAAATCCTCCTGTCTCGCAGTACTCTGCCCAGCTTTTGGAATGCATCCTTGGCCATCCCAATTCGTCTTCAGATCTCAGTGTTGCACCTACCTCCCTCCCTCCATCAAAACACTTCCCAGATATTTAATCTTCTGCACATGCTTAATTTTAGTGTCCCCAATCTGCAAATCACATTTTGGGCTCATCCTTTTATTGATGACCATGCATTCTGTCTTCTTGTAGCTTATGGTTAGTCCATTCTTCTCACTCTTGTAGTTTCTTTTCTGTGTTTGCTATTAGTACAATGTCATCTGTGTATCTTATGTTGATAAGATTGTGGCTGCCAATAATGAATCCCAGTAGGATCAAACTTTTATCTTCTTAAGTAATGTTACACTTCTTTTTGTATATAAACAAAAGGATATAAAGTCTGGATTGTAGAACAAATGAACTGTACATTGCATTCATTATGCTTTGATATTGCCCATCGTTTTTATTTTGTCACAAGCACACATTTTTGCCAAATGTCTTTTGTCACATTTACTTAGCCTTGGCTAGATTAGACATGGACAACAAATATGTTGAGATAAAACAAGCAGATGGACATCATAAAAGTATACAAAGAGATTTATGTTCTTGCCTTTCTAAAAGGTGACATTACAGAAACAAATCAATAATTAAGAACTACAAGGTAACCAAAAAAAGTTATGTCAGTTATTTGATTAGTCATTGAATGAAGTTGAAATATATACGAAATGCATGTAGCAAATGTTTTCAAATTCGGACAGCCGGAAGTAGGAACATCAGACGTTATAAAAAACATGCGCACCGTGTCCAGCCATCAGTTGTAAGCCGAACAGCTGTGAGAAGGATGGAAGTGTTTAGAGATCTCATTCGGGGCTGTTTGCTTTACGACTTTAAAGTGGGCTTATCAGCAGCTGTATCAAGTCGCCGCATATGTCAAGCGTTTGGGGATAATGCTGTGAATGAACGTACTGCAAGGTGTTGGTTTTGAAAATTCAGGTCGGAAGATTTGTCTCTCCATGATGAGCCTCCCAGTGGATGACCACAGGTCTTGAATGATGGAGTCCTGAAGGCGGCCATTGAAGAGGACAGTAGTCCAACATGTTGTGAACTTGCAAGACAGTTCAACGTTTCCGATGAAACAGTTAGACTTCACCTGCACCGCCTAGGTAAGATGTACAAACTGAGCAAGTGGGTTTCGCAAACACTATTGAAGGTCCACAAGGGACAACAAGTGGCAGCCTGCGTATCGCTGCTTTCTTGCCACCGTACCGCATCCTTATTCAATCGAGTGCTTACTAGTGATGAAAAGTGGGTTCTGTATGAAACTCCCAAGTGTTCCAGACATTGGTTGTCTCCTCAGGATGCTGTCCCTCACACCGCAAGACTGCCTATGCACTCACACAAGATTATGCTTTGTGTCTGGTCAACAGGTCGTCAAGTGGTTCATTATGAACTGCTACCAATGGGCCAAACGGTCACTGGAGACCTATACTCGCAGCAACTGAAACATGTGCAACAGGCATTGCGCCAGAAGGAGCCAGCACTGGTGAATCGCAAAGGTGTGCTTTTCCTCCATGACAACGCCAGGCCGCATGTCGCATGAGTGGTCAGGGATACCATACAGCAACTTGGGTGGGAGACTTTGTGCCATCCACCTTATTCACCTGACCTTGCGCCATCCGATTACCACCTCTTCCACTCCCTGGATAATCATCTTCATGGAAAATCCTTCACCAATGAAGCAGACTTGCGCAAAGCCCTCACGGATTTCTTTGTGTCAAAACCCCTCGACTTCTACTGCAAGGGCATTGAACAGCTGGAGACACATTGGCAGAAGGTGTTGGATGCCGATGGCAATTACTTCGAAGACTAAATATAAGTTACACATACTGTGAAGCATTTTCTTTTTTGCCTTTAAAAATGGACAGAACTTTTTTGGTTACCTTGTAGATACTGAAATCTCTTCTATGTGCCATGTCCCTTCAGGATGTTGATGATCATGATTCTCCCCAATTCCCTGTTCTTTGTAACAATTAATAAATTTTATCTTTTTGTTATATCTCCTAAATCTTGCTCCACCATTCATTTACTCAAGCTCACTAAGTACATTATGCATTGTTTTCCTCTGTCCCTGTTGCTTTCATTACCCTACAACTATCAAATTTTCCATGCCCTCTTTCCTCATTATGTGCCCAAGAATATATGGCTGTCTCTTCCTGATGTTAAGTATAAGTGTCCTTTCATTTTCTCTAAAAATTTGTCATTGATCACATTTCCAGTCCATGGTATTCTCAGCATCCTTCTGTAGAACCACATTTTTGTTGCTTCGAGTCTCTTCTTCATCTGTGAGGAGATTGTCCAGCAATTACTGTCATATTGTAGGACTGATATTATATAACAGTTCAGTAGTCTTTTCTTTGTTTCCAACAAACTTTTTCTGTTTCTTAATACTTTGCTTAGATTTTAGAAGGCATGTTTTGATATTCCCATGCGTCATTGTTGCATTTGCTTACACTTATCATGGAATAAAACAAAATCATTTCATTCCTTCTATCTTCATTTCTGTTGTTCTAATATGGCAGAGAAGCCATTAATCTAAGTCAAAACAAAGGTCATGCCTATCTGGACAAGATAAATTGTTGTATTTTATTGTAAAGACATCAAAAGACAACTTGGAAAATTTCAAAGAGAAAATGAACAACACTTACTTGTCAGGCATGATGTCATAGAGTTGGTGTTTTTTAATGTAATTTATCACAGAATCTTGCAGGAGATATTTAACACTTTCTCCTCTACGAAGTGCTCGTCTAAAAATACAACAATAATTTTTTTTTAATTTAATTTTTTTATCTCTTTATTTCCTGGAATTATTTATAATTTTTTAGCATTTTAAAATACAACCTGCACAAAATTTCAATAATTTCACAGAATTTTATGGCAAAATTCTAATGAAATATTTTCATTACATAAATCAATAATTGAATATTATTGTACAATGAAAAAAGGTATTTAAAAACTTTGGCAAATATGTACTGCTATACCCACAATAACAAAGAGTGTTAAAAGAATGGATTTTCCCCATGACACTACTTTTTAACTACCTAAACTCTTCAGCAATGTTTGTTTTAAAAAGTGATAATCAGCATTGTAATAAAACCTAAACATATGATGAAAGCGAATTTATACATTTACTTTGTTCTTGAGAATTGACTACAAAAATAATAAACACTATTTATTTATTAGATTGTTTATTTACACTATTTATTATATTATTTATGGTTGACTAATTGGTTAAATGCCGATTGATTTGAACTTTATAAAATGGTAAATAATAAGGGTTTCCTTATAGTTGGTTCACATATTTTAATAATTTAGTAAATGTTTATAAATTTATGAATTAAAAATTTTCATACTTATTTCTTTATAAATTGGTAAATGATAAATATTGCATTAGTTTTAATTGTATTAGTTTTTTAGAATGTTGTAATTATAAAATTATTCTTGTAAATAATCAATCTAATAAATAATGTTTCATATTTTTGTTGGAAATTCTCAAGAACAAAAAAAATATCTATAAATCCACTTCTATCCCATGTTAATGTTTTATTACAATTCTAATTATCACCTTTTAAAACAATGAACATTACCAAAGGTATCATGGGAAAAAACTGTCTTTTGACACTGTCTTGACAAAGGTCTATGTTTGCTAAAATTTTCATATCAATAATGTCATAAAAAAAAGGATATTAAGTACTCTTTTGTACTAAATATAAGTGTCAACTGGAATAGACATGCTGGTAGGAAAATTTTCAACTAATAAAATAAATGTGCTGGTTCAAATAAATGTTCTGCATGATTCCTGGAAGAAAATAGTCATGTTGCTGAAATAATTATTTGTAAAATAAGTGTGCTGTACCAAATAAGCATGGCACAGGAGTTGATGATAATAATTTAATTATGCCAGAATTTATATTTGATAGACAGCAGTATCTTCTAAAGAAGTAATGGATTTCTTATTTGTTAACCCAACAGATTTTATCACATTATTTAAAACATTATTTTACTGGATACAGATATTTGAGTAGACACTACCTTTATTTATTAAACAGTATATTTATTTATTTTAATCTACCAGCCTGAATATTCAAGAAATCTTATTAAAGAAAAATATGCATTCTCCAGCAGGACTTGAACCTGCATCCACTTTTGAAGGAGAAACAGTTGTTAGATCCAGTGTGCTCTAGACTGACTCATCCAGAGAGTGTGTCGTCAATCAGGCAAATCCTTATAAATGCAAATCCTTCCCATATTCTGGAAATTCATATCTGATCAGTTTCATATCCAAATGTAATCAAAGCAATTTCATTCTTTTAGTGGGTACCCATATTTGAGTAGACACTCCATTTATTTATTAAACATGCAGGACACTGCTGGCGAGCAAAACAAGAACAGAGTGATCTACTATTCTGGACACCTAGCCATGGAGCAAGATGAGTTGGTCACCCAGCAACCACCTACATTGACCAACTATGCTATGACACAGAATGCCTCCCTAATGATCTTCTGACCCTGATGAAGGACTATAATGGTCAGCATGATAGTCTCATAAATATCTGAACTAACTTGACTAATAATAATATTATTTATCTATTTTCGTCTACTAGCCTGAAGATTTGAGAAAACCTATAAAAAGGAAAATATGTGCTCTCCAGAATAAATAAGCAGAGCATCTACTCAAATATGGTTATCCACTAAAATAAGATTTAAAATGATAAAATCTGTTGGATTAATAAATAAAAAATCCATTAATTCTTTAGAAATTGCTTTTGTTTACCTTTGGATACAAAACTAAGCAGGTATGAATTTCAAGAATCTGGGAAGGATTTGCATTTATAATGCAATATTTGGCTTCATCTGATTGACGACACACTCTCTGGTTGAGTTGTTATGTTGGCATGTTAGATCTAACAACAGTTTCTCCTACAAAGGAGGATGCAGGTTCAAATCCTGCTAGAGAGTGCATATTACAAGAGTATCAAAAAAAAAAATAGTACAACAGCCAAAATGAGGCCTAAATAGATTTTTGTTCATGATTTTTTCTTTCCTTGGCATACTCAATAGATTCATATGAATTTTTTTTTCTAAGCATAAAGTATACGTTTAAGGTTAATTCAAATAATTTCCATAAAAGTAATGAGAAAATGTATGATTTTATTGATTTATAGATATACTGATTGGATCCAACACAAAATTACCACAAATACAAATCTGATTATTGGAAACAAAAAAAATAATTCAACAAAAAAAGATCAAGGTTCTTTAATGAAAAATGCATTTTTCAACCAGCTACAACAATTGTCCATTAGGAATTGATATAAAAATCTAAATCCATTATTTATAACCAAAATACCATACAATAATTCATTATTAAAACTTTAAAAGTTACAGAAAACAGAATTATTTCATGACAACCTTTCAATATAAGGTTTTTGTAAATTATATCCATTTTGAATTCGCTATTGCTGAAATCAAACATATTACTGAAACAATTACGCAGGAAATGTTACATAATAATTAACATAGTCTCACCTGATCTTAGTGGAGCTGACGTCATTTCTTATCCATTCAGTAACAATTGTGATGTTTTCCTGTTGGAAAATTAATAAAATTTAAATAACAAACATTTAAAAATGACTGAATAATAAATGATGAGATAGCAAGTGACTAATTCATTGCAAAGGATTATAAAAGGATTAAATGTCTATAGTCATTATAAAATATTAATTATTTCCTCCAAAAGATAACACATTTTTTTATAGTAATACTCATCCTGTCAAGACCCTGGGGCCGCTCAAGGTGGATGATTACAGAGTAAGAGGCCATTTTTCCAGTAACTTTAGTGATGGATCATATGTCTGAGCGCCACTTGAGGTCTGAATTGAGTTTAATGCCCACTAGGTGCACAAAGAATTGGTGGGGGGGGGGGTCTTCCTGAGGGATCAACCATTCATTGTGATAGTACATGGTCTGATCAGCAATGATGGTGTTGCAGGTTGTAGCTTGAGTAAAAGTGTATCAGAAGGTAATTTATGTAAAGACAAAGATTATGCATGCTTATTATGCATTATCCCACAACACGTAGATCAAATAAAGAATATAAGGACAATTTGCATTGCAAGAAATTACTAAAAACACAGTGGTTAGAGATCCAACAATAAAGAGATTTTTATATATACAATAGATGTACATGCAAGGATAACAGAATGTTTGTTGATTGTGGCAATTGAGACATGGTTATGAAGAATGTTCATGCAGAAATTTGGTCAATAAAAGTTAATTCTTTTGATTTGTCAGTGAAATTAAAATAATTTGGTTTCTGCAAGGAAAAATATCAAATGTGTTCGTTCAAATATTAGTGTGTATGCGTGTGTTACTTGTTAGTTAGAATTTAAGTTGTGAAGAGTTGTTTGCCTTTAACTGTTTGGTTAAATTGTTGAATTGTACAATTAATGTTTGTGTAGTGAAAACGTTCACTTTTTTTAGTCAATTGTAATTTGATTACCACATGGACAATGATCGATTGAGTGCTGTGTTGAGTTTGTTGAGAATTTTGAAGTGATGCTGAGTCAGTGAATTGGCACGTGTGGAGTTTGGTAGCATCTCATGAAACTCGATGACTGACTGACTTGAATTGAGTCATGCGCTTGTTTATATAGATTTTGTTGTTTAAAAATCAGCTCCAGGGAGATTCGGCGGGAAAAAGGATCCGTTTCGACTTTGCTACAGATTAGTGTTTCTTAACCAATAGAAGACTGAATTTACTGAAATGAAGTGGTGATTGGTTAAGGCTTTTTTTTAGGGAAGAATACATCTCTCCAAAAGAGGTGGAAGGCTAATGTGAAAGATTCCACAATGGAATGTAACTAGTCTGGTTTTCAAGGAATTAAATATAACCAGCCAGTTTTTTTTTCCAAACTGAGCTGTTAGAGCTCGGTCAGAGGAGAGATCAGTTGCCAATTCAAATATTTAAAAAAAAGCTTTAAGATGATTGGTTTGTCATCTTTTGAAGCATTATCAACCATCAATCTTTTTTTGACAAGTACGTATTTCATTTCATTTTAGTTGCTTTCCATTGTTTTTCATTACATTGATTGATTGATTTGATTTTTTCATGGTTTATCAACCTTTTGAAAGTTATTTAAAACCAGAAAATATTTTAGATTGTGAGAATTTTTTGGATATAATAATGATTGACTGATTAGAATTTAATCAGAATTAAATAAACAAACAAGACATAATGTTGATTTAAAGTGGTAGATCAATTCTATATTACAATCAGTATATAAAATGATCCTTCATTTTGTGGTCACGGTCGAGAGAATGTAAATAAATCTAAAAGACATGCATGTATAGCTAATTGGTATTTCATTGAGTGATTGATTTGTTTTCTACGGCATATTGACCCTTTGCAGGTTATTGAAGCCAGAAAATATTTTTGGACTGTGAGAATTTTTTTTTTGAGATAATGATTTAGTGATACAAGTCTTACTAATTAACTCATAGATGGCAGAGAATAGGTGGATTTATACATTTCCCAATGGCATTTGTTATATACCGTACCTATGAGCTCTAATGAGTATGTCCCAATCCTCATAAATATGTTTGACACTATTGTAAGTGGGGGTAATATGCTGTCTAAGTAGTCCACCACTATCAGTGGTTTACCTATTTCATGCTGCTGACGAGTATTGTATTTTGTTGAGGTTATAAATATTACCATTTTATTTCTAACCTCCATTTTGGATATTCCTCATTCAGTAACCTTTTCTAGGTTACAACAGCATTTAAGCATAAGAGAATATAACAAACCCAACTGGAATTGGAACTTGGCTCTTCGATTTAGAATTCCAAGCCATTATCCATTACACCACCTGCAGATCCAAGCTTACAGAACCTGGTATACCCGAGCAGTTACCTAAATATATCTAAATACTGAGCAGGCTCAGAATTGCTTAACTTCAGTTATTTTATGGGAACCAATGTTTCAACATGATATGGCCATAAGCCCCATTTTCATTCAGCTCTCTTTATATAGTCATTAGCAAACAATGTAGAATGTTGAGCTTTTTCTTTACTTTTATTGATTGATTCATTTGTTTTCTACAGCTTATCAACCTTTATAGATTATTTAACCTTTAGCACATTTTAGGTGGCTATTTTTACAAAGCAAAATGTTAGTCCTGCCAATACAAGTTGAATGGTTGTGTAGTCATATCCTTCTATGGCAACACCAAAACAATCTTGACTGAAATTGAGAGCCAGGCTACTAGAATTTCAAATATATAGAACTAATATATAAAACGCTATATTTTGAGGGGATTCCATATACAGTAAGAGGGGAAGTAATATTTATAAATGATGCAGGGTACTAAGTAAAGACAAAAAATATTTGAGATTGTAAGAATTTTTTGGAGATAATGATTTACTGATACAAGTTCTATTAATTAACCCATAGCTGGAGGGAGAAGAGGTGCATTCATACTTTTCCCAAGAGTATTTGCAGATAAGTGAATATAAGAATCCAATTGGAACTAGAACTCAGCTCTCTGTTCTTCTCCCAGATAAGATACCAAACATACATGAAAAGAGTTTGTCATATGCACCCTGTCAAAACTCCAATGCTTTAACTCAAATGGATGTGCTCACTGATATCCACAACTGATATGACAAAAACAGCACTTATTTTGTCCAGCTCCATCCAGAATACTGTCATAAAACATCTTTTCTGACCAATCAGAAAAAGGTCCACACAGTTTTCACAGCAGTGATTTCTGAGCCACCAACTTTTCACCCATGAGGAGAGACCCAAAAAGGTTGCCATTAGTGACAGACACCTATGGCAGGCAAGATTAACCAGGTCATCACCAAAGCATTTTCATCAACAGTGATGCCTTAGGTCAGTGATGAAACCAGCAGCAGTAGCAGAGACTAACTCTCAGCTACTACAATGCAATAATTCATGGAACATTTCTTCCATGAGACTATCTCACTCAACTACATATGCCTGTTGAATTTCTCCACATGTCTATCTTAACTACTACCTTGTGTTATACCCTCAGTCTCCCATGACTAACGCAGAGCAAGCAAACAATCGAATGTCAAATAATGGGACACTTTCTCACTTATCTCAACCAGGTTTTAACTTTATTCGCTAGCACTTACCCTTTTTTTCTTGATTAAGGCCAATGTTACAACGTCATTGATCTCTGTCAGTAACACTAAGCCAAGAACAAACACTCATAATTTTTAATCATAATACAAATGACAGTACCTGATATTTGCTAAGGAGATCAGACTCATAGATGAACTTTCGGGGATCAGAGTCATCTCGGGTTATGCACACAATACCATATTTTCCAACAATTTTCTCAATCTGAAAAAAAACACAATCTATAATAAAAATTACAGACCAAAGAGTTAAGCTGGCAATTCATAATCACATTCAGGTAAATACAACTTTTTTTAATAATTAGATAAGATAACAATGACGAAAAAGTTCTCAGCTCAACCCACTTCCATGTCAAGGGAGTCAAAAATGTATACAGTAATAGTGGTGTCAAGGGAATAACTGTTCTTTAGACATATGGTGTGTATGCCAGCATCAAGGCCAAACATTGCCACATTTTTCTTACAACAGAGGAATTCAATTAAAAACAACTCCAACAAAAAGGATATTAAATATCATGATAAACTTACATCAGCTTCTTTCCAAAGTCCAGGTTTTGAAAAAGATTCCAAAAGATCAGCACCACACAATAATTTCAAATGAACATTGGAGCTTATATCACAAAAGTTTGGTAAGGAAAGGTGGTTAGAATCAACTTCATCTAAGAAAGAAAACACAAGAAAAAAATACAATGTAAATTTAAAAATGATAAAAAAAAATGGATGGAATTTCAATCCATGATTGAATGACAGCATTGAATATTAAATGTGGGATGACTTTAATTAAAATTGCGATTTCTGATGAAAATATCTTAACTGCATGAAAATAACCAGTTGTATTGTATTTCATAAGGAGAGTACTGAACTTATGTAATATTGGCCCTGCTATATGGCAGTGGATGTTACACAATATCCTCACAAATGAAGAAGAGACTTGAAGTAACAGAAATATGGTTCTGCAGAAGGATGTTGAGAATAAGATAGATTGAAAATGTAAGCAAGGAAAAATAAATCTAAAAACATGCCTGTGTAGCTAATCAGTATTTGATTGATTGATTCATTCATTCATTTTATATGGTTTATCAACACGTTGCAGGTTATTTAAAGTCAGAAAATATTTTTAGATTGTAAGAATTGTTTTTTTTTGGGGGGGGATAATAATGATTTAGTGATACATGTCTTACTAATTAACCCATAGTTGTGGGGTGAAGAGGTGGATTCATACCTTTCCCAAAGTTATTTGCACATGAGTGAAAATTACAAACCCAACTGGAATTGGAACTAAGCTCTCAGATTTTCAATTCCAACCCATTATCCATTACACTTCCCACATGTACAACCTTACAGCACCTGGTATTCCCAAATGGTCACCCATCTAGGTACTGATCAGGTGTCACATTGCTTAAGTTTGGTGATCATACAAGAACTGGTATTTCAATGTGATACAGCCATAAGCATATTTGACATTAATCTACTAGTAGATTAAAGTGTTGGTTAATGCATATTTGACTTTTTGGAAGTCATGAGTTCAATCCCAACTTTACTTCCAAAGATGCAATATACACATATTTTCAGCAGTATTTTTTTTATGGGAATTGTAGTGAAAAAAGTTCATATAAATTTTATGCTGGCAAATATATTTTAATGGTTTGAGTTTCTTTTTATTAAAGACATTTTATATCATCATGATTTGGTATTGTGAAGTGATAACTTTCAGTTGTCTCTCTCAAATGACTGCTGCATGCATAGTTTTAGCAGAGTTAGAGGAGAGATTTTTCTGAAGTTAAAGTTCTCAAAGATTTACAAAATTGTTTTTGAGAATAATTCCAGTGAACCAAACAAGAGGCATGTGCAAAAATTTCCAATATCTTTTTTCTGTTTTTTTTTTTAAATAAAGGAAAAAAAATGTTTTTTGTTTTTTTTTACTGTATATTCAGTGTCTAGTTTTCTAAAACAAAGTGGATGCTGGGAACTTTAGCACACATTTAATATATTAAACAATTTCAGAATTATTTTTTAAAATCATTATACATTTATTGGTTATCATTTTTTTAAAAAAATATCATTTCTTGCACATATGTATGTGCTTATCTTATCAAAATAGCAGTTTTATCAAAAGTAAAATTGATACAAAAATCCTGAAAAGTTCTCAGCCAACCAAGGAGACCTTCAAAATAAATAAGTACCATATATACTCATGTATCATGCAACTTTTGAAGACCTAATTTTGTAGCTAATTTTAAGGGGGTCACATCATACATGAGATATAAAATTAGCATATGTACTGCTGGGCTTGGCTACTCCATTGACCAAACTATATATACATTTACTATAGTCAAAAAATACAGCGGTATTTAAAATAAACATGATTTTGATAAAACTGATGTTTTACTTAACTGTATCCAATAATAATGCATGTAATATTCACATATTAGTATCGTATTATAAAATACAAACAAAGCAAATGTGGATCATTTTCATTTTTTACAATTATAAAATGTTTAGCTGTTTCTTGTTCAGTTGTTTATGGCTGTACACATTTATGCAATGAGTATGACATTACTAATGATACTTTTATCATTCTCTTTTACTTTTTTAACTTATTTAACTAGAAGATGGGATAAAGAGATAGAGGAAAAGGGGTTAGTCTGTTGTAATTTGGTCTCTCAAAAAAGCTCATGATACACAAGATACATGATAAAATTATTTTTTTAAATGAAAATTTGGGGGTTACGCATTACATGAGTATATACAGTAAATAAATCTAAAACTTGGTCATTTGGACAGAAACTGAGAAGCAAATCAGGCAAAGAACTTTTTAGCACCACCTCATCACAATGATCGATTTCATTTTCCAATACAATAAACCAGATGCTAAATAGATGTGATAATAAAAAAAAAATGGTTCAACAATCCTCGTTTGACAAATGCTTAAAAATATTTCCACAGACAATATTAGATTTGCCACACAACACAGATCATTCTTCTCATAAAGAATAGATTTTTTTCTTTGTTCATGAAATGCCAACAATATCTCTACTGACATCAAGCATTATCACTATGGCAACACTTATCGCTATGTCTGAATAATATAAATAAGTAAGAATTCACTGTGCCTTTGTGGTTTATAAATGTTTTCAACGTCAGAAAGGATTACAAATAAAGAAATAAAAATTGATGCTGTAACCAACAAGAAAACAACTTTTTATGACATTAAGTCAAGATTAGTTATGTAATTATTTATTATTATTAACCCATCAGCCATTAGGTCAAAAAGGGCAAACAAACGAGAGGCACAAGTTATTACAGAGAGCAACAGTAAACATGCAGAAAACAGTAATGATCGAAACATTGAATTAGAAAACTGTTTAAAATAGATCGAGAGCCACATTGTACATAAGTACAGTTACCATTTGCTAATATAATCAAAATACATTTCGATCTTTTTTTTAAAGACATCTAAAATCTTGGCACTGACTGCAAAAAGATGGAGAGCATTAAGCTCATTCATTACCCGTCATGACAAAGAATATTTTCGTACATTCAGGCAAAAGAGAAATAGATGTCCTCTGGCGGAAATATATTGGATTTTAGTAAAATCTATGTCATCAATTGACCTTACTATTCTATATACCTGTATTCAATCACTATATCAACAGTTAAATGTTCACATTCCAATCATGCAACCCAGGTTCGACTCTCACTATGTTTGATTTGTCAGGAAAGTGACCTTGATGTTTATTAGTCTGGGGGAAACAACCCCAGCATGCAGCATCTTATGAAAATGCCTGAAAACCATACCACAGGTTGACCTTGTGAGTGAAATTTGGTAGATGGAACTATTTGAGAGCCATCAATGGTTGTGATAGCATGATGTCACAAGTCATTGTTACTGAGGGTTTGATTGTGCTGACCCTCTTATCATGCCAGATAATGCACTCTCTCCCAGAAACTGTAACTAAGGTCCACTAAGCATCTTCTTTCTTTTTGCATGCCGTGTCCTTTCAGGACATAGGCGATCATGGCTCTCCACTTCCCTCTATCCCTTGCAGCTTTTTTCAACTGTTGTATATCGTGCTGAGGATGAAATGAGCACACACAGGAGGTGAAGACTGAAATAGAATGGTCTAGCAATAAATAAAGCTTCAGAACTGTTTCTTTACATTTGGTGGAAAAAGTTCTTTGTATTAAAAATTGTATGCAGTGGGTTTTATTTTGAATATAGCTGCATTGACTTGAAAATTTCAGATCAGAGGTCATAATTACTCTGTTAGGGTTACGTATGATATGTCCATCAAGAGTTAGTTGATGTTTTGGATTTTGACTGCCTAGATTGGATTGCTATGTGTTATCCAACCTCTTATGTGGCAGTAAATACTGGACAATCTCCCCACAGATGAGGAAAAAACTAGACAGCAGATATAGGGTTCTAGAGAAGGATACTGAAAATTCTATAGATTTTTTTTTTTTAAGCGTTTCACCCCAAGCAAGGCGGAAAGCCACTAGGACACAAGGGGTTACAGAAAATTTGGAGCAAGATCAGATAGGAGTGATAGAAGAAAGGATGAGGAGAAGGGTAGTGGATAGATCAAGGCAACTGGAGATGTCGATTGACATTACATTTGAATAGCTGGAGATTATAGCTCTCAGGGAAACTGGAATAGGGAAGGGAGTTCCACAGGCAAGAAGTGCAAGACATGAAGCTATTGGAGTAGAAGAGACGGCTACATTTAGGAGTTTCGACAGTGAAGGGGTGAGTGCAGGATGCCAGCCTCGTAGGGCGCTTGAAGTCATGAAGTCTGGGAACCAGCGAATGCAGCTCCTCGGAGCAATTGCCATGAAAGTAGTTGTAAAACAGACAGAGAGAGTCGACGGCGCATCTGTGAGAAAGTGACTGTAGACGAGATGCCAGAGCAGGGCCAATTTTATCGTATATCCGCCTCTGGAGCCTATCAAGAACCCCTAGGCAAACGGAAGGGGCTCCAGACCATATATGGCAGCAATACTCCATGCAAGGGCGAATTGTTGATTTGTAGATCTGGAGGAAAAGTTCCTGGCGCGGCACAGGGACCCAACTTTCCTTGCGGTGGACGAAGCAATTGACTCAATGTATTTGTTCCATCTGAGGTCAGCTGTCAACGTGAGACCGAGCAGCTGCAGAGAGTTGCTCTCAAGAAGTTGAGCATCAGACATTAGCAAACAAGCAACAAGGAAGTTTTAAAGAAAATGACTACATAAAGAACACTTTTACTTGAAATCAGGAAAAGACAGCTGAAATTCCTTGAATATATGATGATCAAGTAGGGCTTGGAAAACTTAACACTCATAGAACATATTGAGGGCAAGAGAAAAGGAAGGCAATGAGTCACTTGCTTGATAAACTTGTGTGAATGGATGGCAGAAAGGTGTGGGGAGCTGCTAAGAGCTACACTAAATAGGAAGTTGTGGAGACTTATGATTGCATATGGCCTGAAGGGAAACCGTACATAGAAGATGCACAAATGCAAAGTTTTAAAGGTTTAATCTCATTTACAATGGCTATAAAACATCTAGATTATTTTGAAGAATGTGTTGGACACTTATACTCAAAATCAAGAAAAGATAGCTGAAATTCCTTGGGCACAATGAGGAAGGAGGGCTTGGAAAACTTAATACTGACAGGGCATATTGAGGGCAAGACAAATAGGGGAAGGCAGCAAGCAACTTACCTGACAATGTGTGAATGAATGATGGAATAGGGGAGGAGGGCCTTAACAAAGGGAGAAAACAGCTAAGAGCCATACAAGATAGAAAGTTGTGGAGAGCCATGACCGCATATGTTCTGAATGGACGAGGCTCATAGAAGAAATTGGACATGCAAAATGTTTATATGTATTACTATGTTTTTTTTTAATTTTTTGGATGCTGGTGGGTGCAAACTATTTTTAAACAGGAATTTGGGATTTTCTTAAAATCTTAACTGATAAAAAAATTCTTTTATATTGAAAAACAAAAAATCTCAAAACAAAAACCTCTTCTCAAAAAAATGATCAAATGATATAAAAAAAGCTGATAAAACCAAAGGTTGCTTATAAGATGACCAAGAAGTGGATTCATACTGATCTAAGTACAATGTATTTTAGAAATATTAATGGAAACTAAAGAAAAAAAACAACACACCAAAGTTTGTTTTTTCCTCCGATTCGAATACATTCTTTAGAGAGACATTTGCATTGCTGTCGGTCGTACGCAGTTGGCTGTAATGATGATCAAGAACGCAGACAGTTTCTGTCCAAGTCTTTTGTTCACTTTCCCATGTGTCTAACCTGTATGGAAAAGAAATCAAAAACATTAATAAATAACAGAATTGCAATCATTAGTTTCATTCCCTTTAGCACTAATCAACAATCTATTAATGCACTTATTCATACCTACCTCGAGAGTATATAATACTTTTCACATCATTCCAAATTACATGGACTCTAGTGATGTAAGTAACCGTATTCATCACACATTCATTAATAATTCTCTTAGGATGGAAAAGTTGTGTGGGTATCATAAGGGTTATGACCATGTAAAAATGGAACTAGCAAACTGAGTTCAAATTCCATCCTAGTCAGTTGCATTCACTTTCACACATACTTATGGCTATGGGTTAAATAGAAGGATAGGCTGTATTCTCTAACCTTATGTAGCAACTAGTCTAAAAAAAAATCTAGAATTCCAAACTATGGAGAAGACAATAGGAAATTAGTCCACCATCTTTCCTAAGACTGCATGACAATTAACAGATAAAAAAAACAAATAAGCAATTTGTGGAGAGTTATGATTGTACCCTGAAGGTACACAGCATTTAAAAAAAACGCTAAAGTTTTTTATTAGGTGGGTGCAAAATTTACCAGCATTAAGAACTAATTTATCACTTGAAACTTTTGCACGGTTTCTATTTCTGTTAAAGAACACTGGGAACATTTTCATGCACTTAATAGTGGCAAGAATTAGTTAATTTTATTAAAACCTGAGAATAGAGACATACTTGAACATACAAAAATCAAACATACATTTTTGCCTGTTAATGAATTAACAATGGCCAATGTATTTTCTAAAGTAAGATTCAAATTTAAAATTATTAAATGATCCTCAGACAATTTAGCTGATTTCACCATCTTCATGTAATGGAAAATATGATTTGATTGATTGATTTGTCTGTTTAATGGCATATCAACTCCTTATGGGTCATTTTAATGCCAAAATGTACTACTACTAATAATAATAATACTAATAATAATAATATCCTGATGTATGAATCCATCTCTTTTCCCTACCTGTTAAGGGTTAAATAGCAAGGCAACAAGCTTGCTTGTGTAAATGAATGGCAGAACAGGAATTAGAAGAGACAGCAAAAAGAGAAAATTTACTAAGCACTACAAAGGGCAAGAAATTGTGGAGAACCATGATCTTCAATGTTCTGAAAGGACATGGCATATAGAAGCTACCAGCAAATAAAAAAAAATTAAAAAAACTTAAGTCTTTTTCTCAAAACTTAAAATGGTGTATGGAAAGGACTTTTTTTATTTGACTGATAATTATATATCCACACTTCTATTAATCTCTGATAGTTGTCATATTATATTATTTAAATTTTATAAGTCATAGCAGCACAATTAGTCAGCAGCCATATTTCTTTTTGTTGATTTTTACAAGGTTTTTTTTTTTAAGATTTTTGAAAACTCAGCAAAACTTACCTGACCCAATCAGAGGATTTTAATCCTAACCGAACCATTTCACACCGATGCTTTGCACAAAGAAGACCCTGAAACAAAGACATAAAACAAAAAAGATATTTATTTAAACAATATATTTTTATCAAAAATATTTGCAATTTAAAAGGTATTAAAAAGGGACATCTGAAAATGGAATATATTTCATTTTATTCATGGTTGTCATTTTGGATAAAATATTTTGATGAAATTGTCTGAATCCAATTTCAAAAAGAATCTTGATATTTATCCTAACTTAAAAAAAATAAGGTAGAGATTTATCACCAATCAAACAATAAGTAAATAAATTTGAGGAAGGGAGAGTTTTATCAGTCATTCCCAGAAACTGTAACCAACATATTCCGACAAGTATCATGTAGTCAAAGAGGTGGGTTTTTGAGAATAGTCCTAAGAAGGCAATCCCAGTAAGTACCACCATTGAGACCTCCCTGTAAACCATACTACAGGCTGACCCAAGCCTTGTGAGATAAATTAGGTAGACAAAACTGCTTGGAAGCTTTCAATGGTCATGCTAGTACACAGTTACAAGTCCTCAACTAAAGAGCAGATAGCTATTTAGCCTTGGTTGGCAATCTATCTAGATATAGTATCTCAATAAAAACATCCATCCCCCAGTAGTCTTGCTACTTTAGTCCTGATGTATAACAACTTATTCAGAAACTGTAAAAATAATATAATAAAAAGTTGAATGGACAGACTTTGTCAGTGGAATTTAATAAAACATGTTTATATATATATATATATATATATATATATATATATATATATATATATGTATGTATAAACACACATTTATGTATGTACAAATAGATTTTTATCCATACAGTTTGTATGTGCTTGATCTTTTCCTAAGCTTTTTTCTATTCAAGTTGATATTTTCCTTTCAGTCAATAATAAACAGAAAATATATTGTCAAACCAAATTTCATTCTTTAAATGTCAACATTTAAACCTATGCATAAATATAACATTTTCAATTTTATTTTCAAATGTCCTGCCTTTGCTGTGGACAAGTTGAGAATTCAAATCATTGGCACTTGACCTTACAATACTATCCGGTTTCAAATGATATCTAATAGGTTTTTTGTTTTTTTCAATCTATACTCCACAGTAAAGAATGATGTGAAGTCAAGTACTCACACACACGCAAACACAAATGTACATATATTATATAAACATACATATATGTACATATATATCAACACATGCACACACACAGAGAAAGGGAGGGGGATATCTATAACTTAAAATATTCTTCTTCTTTAACTTCTGTATATTTGGATAGTTGCCAGTTCCTTTCTGCAAGCATTTTTAATTTCTTCTTCTATGTGCCATGTCCATTCAGGACATGGCAACTCTCTACAATTCCCAGTCCTTTGTAGCTTTTAATAAATTCTGTCTTTTTGTTATTTATCCTAAACAAGGTACCTCTAATTTTATAGCATGATGAAAAAGGCCTCAAGCTTGATGAAAACAAAGTTTTATTGTCAAAATGTTTATGTTATTATTAAAGGGAAAGACCAAAGTATTTTTTTTATTATTTTATTAAATTTTCTAATCTTGTATGGCACATTCAAAATTTTGGTTAAAAATCTTGTTTTTCTTACGTCAACGGTGGGCTAAGGATTAATATGGGAAATTTAGCATCTTTTTTGCAGTAAAAACACATTGTTTTGGAAATTCTTGTAAAAATCAAATAATTGTCATATTTTAAGGAAAATTTTCAGGATTTATTCAAATAAATTATTTTAAAAAAATTTTTTTTTTTAGAAAATCTTGGTAAAAATATATTTTTTTAGATCTATTACCCCCACTTAATTTTATAAAATTTCAAGAAATTAAAATTTCAGCCTCTTCATATTTACATCAGTTAAAAGCAGGGCACCTTTGAGAATTTAAATCATCAATTTGTTTTTGTCAAACTGATACACCATTTGCAGAAAATCTACTTCCAATCATAAAATAAAATATACAATAAAACCCTGACATTATTTAATTAGAAAAGTTTTATTTGCTTTTATAAATAAGATATATTAAGAACATTACTGTCTTAAGAAAAAATTTTTTAAATAAATAATGAATTTTTACAAGAATTGTAAATTTTTAAAATTTTAATTATAATAATTTATAAAATTTTAAATCTTTTAAAATTCTGTATTAATTTCCACCTTTTAAATTATATTATTATTATATGAAAATGTTATTTACTAGTCATAAATGGAAAAGCTTAATACAAATCATCGCACATTAAGATTTTTAAAAGGATTTTGAATTTTTTTTATGTGTATAAACGTGCCCATTTTTCTAAGTATGGCCAAACATACACAACATTATCAGAAAATAAAGTGATAACTCTTGTAAATTTAAAGTTATCATTCCTAAAATTACAGAGAATATTTTCCAAAATTTTAAGAGAATTACAATGCAATGAAAAAATAAACTATTTTAGCAAAAAAAATATTCCTTCCAGTCAGTTTAAATTAGTTTTTGAAATACAGCAAAGTATTTTGAGTATTGGAAATATTAAATTTAATCTATTAGATTGAAATTAAAATCAAAAGAAAAGCTTCAAGAAAGATTTTTCATTTTTTAAAATTAATTTTAAACCTTAGGTGTCATTTTTTCTGTTATTTTTTTGTAGAGGTACCTATCATAAACCCTGTTCTGCCATCCATTTACTCAAGCTTGCTAGGTAGGTTATACATTGTTTTCCTTTGTACTTCTTGCCTTCAATCTGTCCTGTGAATATCAAATTTTTCAAGACCTTTTTCTTCATGTGCCCCAGAAATCTTGACTATTTCTTTCTGATGTTAAGTATAAGTTTCCTTTTTGTTTCCATTTTCTCTAAAAACTTTGTTGTTGCTTACATGTTCAGTCCATGGCATTCTCAGTATTATTTAGTTAAAGGTTTCTTCAGTCAGATTACAAAAAGATTCTGTCTGTAAGGAAGTCATCTTGGTAACTAAAACTACCAGTGAATAGTCATAGTATAATAAAATCTCCATCACTGATTCAACATTAGTAACTTTAGTAACATTGTTACATTAGTAACAATTTACACAATAGAAGGTCAGGGAGACATGAGTTAAAATGCAGTAAAATGACATTTTTTCTAAAAAGCAAACTTGATACAGTTTTCAACTTTTGAGCCGGTTGACATATCTATTTTCAGAAATTGTCTGACCACTTTAAAAGAAACTATGTTGTATCTAACCACTCCTGTTGAATCAAACACACTCAGGATAATGATTCAGCTTTTGTTAATAGTTTGTATTTTTTTTTTTTTATCTTTCACTGTGAGGCCATTCTCTAGTTATTCATCATAAAATGATTATGTCAAATCCATTTTTCATCACAAGAGATGATCCCAATTTGGACTTGAAAATTTAAAAATAAATAAAAAAGGAAGTAAACATAAAATTAAGTCAAATGTAAGAGTAACTTTTGTCATGTAGGACATAAGGTCAATCTATTTGTGAGACTTATATCAGGAAAATAGTGTCTTCAGCATTGTGAAATACAGTAATTATTGCAGGCTTTCATAAAGCTGATTTCTATTTTTCATTCAATTCAAACGGAACCTATTTTACTGTGCTTTTTCTTTTCTTCCCAATTAAATAATTTTAATTAATTCCAATAGACACAGTAAAGTTTTCTAATATTTGAAAATCATGTTCTACGACAGCTTTCTAATCTTAATCATTATGTAGTAAAATAAGGCAAGGGTGTGTTGATGTTGATTGATTCATTTATGCCTTTATTATGATTTATCGACCCTTTGCAGGTTATTTAAAGCCAAGAAAATACTTTCAGATTTTAAGAGTTTTTTTGTTTTTTTTTGAGATAATGATTTGGTAATACAAATCCTACTAATTAACCCATAGTTTGTGGGGAGAAGAGGTAGATTCATACCTTTCCCAAGTATATTTGCGCATGATATAACAAACCCAAATGGAATTTGAAATCAACTTTCCAATTAACAATTCCGAGCCATTATCCATTACCCGACCTACACATCTAAGCTTACAGCATCTGGTTTTCACAAGCTTTTGAGGTCAGGGAAAACTATTAACACATAACAGATTGTTCTCTTAAGAATTAAGGTGAAACAGGCAGAGAAGGGAGAGAGATAAAAAGCTGAAGAATGAGTGAGGCCACAGCCTGAAAACCCACAGTAGGGCGGTAACTTCAGGAACAAAATGTGCTAATGGAATGTCTTTAAAAGATACCAAATCTCCAAAGATAGCAAAGCAAGTGTCGCCAAAAGCAGACTGCTAACTGCTGGTTTTTACCATCACTTTTATTGACGTGATGGTTAACAAAGACCTGGATCTGGATAAGTTGCAAAGAAGCCCGTAATTGGATATACCAAGATGTTTTACTGTTAACAGGAAAACTAGCTTCAGCAGATATGTCTGTATTGGTCTTGTCTAGCATCTCAGCTTCAGTCAAATTCTCACCACCATAATGTGGCTTACCTTTGCCTTTTCTATAAATATTTTCTTGGCAATTGTTCTGATGAGCTTTCCTCTTTGGTAACATGGCTTCATGAATTTAAACGTAGTACTAGATTAGAAGTTAGGTCTCATCATTTTACTTTTTAAATAGCTAGATGTAACTGTAAGTTCTATTCTAATAGTTTCTTTTTTTGCACTTTTCACCTGTGAAACTCTCTTCCAGTTTCTTGCTTGCCTATCATCTATGATCCTCAAAAATTTGAATGCACTGTCTTTTGCCATCTTCTGTTGTTTTGAATCCTGTTCATTTATTGCCTTTGCTTCCACTCAGTAACCTCTAGTGTCTTACTGGCTTTATTGCCTTGCTTGGCATGAAATGATAAAAAAAAAGGCTTGAACTAATATGAGAATAAAACAGGAAAACTCATGATTCAATATCATTGTTTGTATTGTATAATTTAAAATTGAAATGAAAAAAAGCTGCTTTTGTTAATCATTCTATAAACTGCAACTGATTCCAATTCCTGGTATAACTTAAAACTTTAATCTTATATTTCTTACTAATGGAAATCAGCA